GGATAGAAAATTTCCTACCCGCTGAAATCAATCATCACCTTCTAACCCTATGATAGGAATTCCTGGCAACTGCTCTATAGCACTTCACCTCTTCCCACTCGCTACCTGACACTACCCACCCCTTTCTCTTCACTCCTCTTCTTCCCCACCTCTCACTGCCCACATGAGTCATTTCCCCTACAAGCCACCATTTGTACTTCCACCATACTGTATGTCGGTCCCTGGAATCTGCCCTCTCTGTCTTGTCCCCATGTGCTGTAACCTCTTTGCTGATTCCATGTATGTATTTACCATCAAGATGACTAAGCTATATTTCATGGCTGTAAGCCATAATGTACCCACCTGACATACGCCCTAACTTACTGGAATCCACGCCTGTCTACACTTGCCCCCCCCCCTACCTGTTAGTCCCCTGAGGCTAATTCACTTGAATTACAGATCCAGCTCCAGATCCATGCAGAATATCTTTTATTATATCTTGAAGTACTATGACTATATATTACGGTGTAATGTTACTTTATTGTTTTCTTACCTCCAATAAAAATTTATATGGAAAAAAAAAATGTATAAACTCAATTTTCTACAATGGGTCTTGGGTCCAGTCATGAGACATCATAGATAGGCTCTGCCATTGTGCTCTCCAAAGGGCACATGCTGAAATAAGTGGTGCTGTTCTTTGCTTCTGTGAGTCCATGCTGGCGTGATGATGCGCCCTCAAGGTGAGGATCCTTGGCTCCCGGGCTCAGAGGAAATAGGAAGGAGACCTGCCCTCAAATGGGCAGAGCAGGAGACTTGATATTTCTCTGCTGTAGGTCAGTTACACGTACAAGTCTTGTCCCGTCCCCAGTCTTTGACTGGACAGTAAAATGAGAAGCAGCAGACTTTTTCTCTCTCTCCCAGTCTAAGCTTTGCTGTACAGGGACTGCAGGAACCTGATACCAGGTCACATTCAGGTACTAACAATGTTTAAATTAAAAAAACAAACGAATGCAGAGCTGCATTCCTTTGTGTCTTTTATATCTCCCCGGAGTTCAGCTTTATGAGATGTTTTCTATTATTTTGGGGTTTAGGGTGAAGATAGGAACAATATAAAAGCTGAGGTTAAAGAGGAAGAAGTGGAGACGTATGTGGGGGGTGACCGGCCGTCCACGGAGGAGGTCGGGATGATGATGAAAAGTGATCAGGATGACATTTCTCTACCGATCAACACAAGTAAGTAACAGACACTATGGAGGGAACAGGTCACAGTTCTATGTCACTTCTCAGTAGAAGGTGCGACATTTAAGGGATCATGTTGGAGAATTATCAAATCTTCACATCATCAGATAAGATGAGACTGAATTATAAATGGTGGACCATCAAAGTTGGGAAGAAGATTCCCCAGAAGAAGTCTTCTCCCCTATTGTAGGATGAAGGGGTCGTCATCTCCTGATTAGTGTTAGGAAGGTTGGGGGTCATTTACAGCAAATAAACTCTCATCAAATGTTCTACATACAGATGTTGGGTCCATTGTCATCAGGGCCAGTGCTAGGATTATTGCCTACACAGGCAAGGTGCAATTTTTCAGAGGCAGGACATGTATCCAGAATTTAAATGCTGTGTCACCCAATGAGAAAACATGATTTTATAGTGAATACGAAAATCTATTCCTCAATATAACATCATGTGACCAACAAATGAGGAGGAGATATTGTACACCATATGAAGGTCCATCTCCATTCCTCAATATAACGTCATGTCCCCAACAAATGAGGAGGAGATACTGTACACCATGATCTCCAAAGGGCACATGCTGAAATATGTGGTGCTGTTCTTTGCTTCTGTGAGTCCATGCTGGCGTGATGATGCGCCCTCAAGGTGAGGATCTTTCACTCCCGGGCTCAGAGGAAATAGGAAGGAGACCTGCCCTCAAATGTTGGCAGAGCAGGAGACCTGATATTTCTCTGCTTTAGGTCAGTAACACGTACAGGTCTTGTCCCTCCTCCAGTCTTTGACTGGACAGTAAAATGAGAAGCAGCAGACTTTTTCTCTCTCTCCCAGTCTAAGCTTTGCTGTACAGGGACTGCAGGAACCTGATACCAGGTCACATTCAGGTACTAACAATGTTTGCATTAAAAAAAACTAAAACAAATACAGAGCTGCCTTCCTTTGTGTCTTTTATACCCCCCCCGGAGTTCAGCTTTATGACATGTTTTCTATTATTTTGGGGATTAGGGTGAAGAACGGATCAATATAAAAGCTGTGATTAAAGAGGAAGAAGTGGAGACGTATGTGGGGGGTGACCGGCCGTCCACGGAGGAGGTCGGGATGATGATGAAAACTGATCAGGATGACACTTCTCTACCAATCAACACAAGTAAGTAACAGACACTACGGAGGGAACAGGTCACAGTTCTATGTCACTTCTGAGTAGAAGGTGTGACGTTTAAGGGATCATGTCTGGACTTTTCCAAAGCATTTGATACGGTGCCACATAAACGCTTGTTATACAACGTGTACAAAGAGTATCGATAAATGGCACCTTTTCAGACTGGGCTGAAGTCATGAGTGGCGTACCCCAGGGCTCTGTGCTGGGCCCCATGCTTTTTAACATGTTTGTTAATGATATCGGTGAGGGAGTGAGTAGTCATGTCTCAGTGTTTGCTGATGATACGTAAATTGGGAGTGCAGTAGACACGGATTTAGACATTGTAACATTACAGGAGGACCTGGAGAAAATCGGGGGAATGGGCAACTGTATGGCAGATGAAGTTCAATGTCGATAAATGTAAGGTAATGCACTTTGGAGTTAAAAATAGGCAAATTGACTATACACTTCTGGGTGTGCCACTAGGGAAGTCGGAAACGGAGAAGGATTTGGGGGTCATTATAGACCGCAGATTGAAGAACAGCGCGCAGTGCCAGGCTGCTGTAAACAAAGCTAGCAGGGTCTTGTCCTGCATTAAGAAGGGAATGTATTGCAGGGACAAGTCTATAATTTTGCCACTTTACAGATCGCTGGTTCGGCCACATCTGGAGTATGCGGTCCAGTTTTGGTCACCAGTCCTCAGAAAAGATGTAATTGAGCTGGAAAAAGTCCAGAAGAGGGCAACCAAACTCATTAAGGGGTTCAAGGACCTGAACTATGAAACAAGGTTGTTAAAATGAAATATGTTCTCTTTGGAGGTTAGGAGATAAGGGGAGACATGATTTTCCTGTATAAACTGTTCAACAGCGAAAGCAACCTTAGTAACAATCTGTTTACGGCTAGCTCCGTAACAAAGACCAGAGGGCACCACCACAAATTGGTAGAAAAAACATTTCTACACAAGGGGCGCAGGGGGTTCTTCACAGTTAGAGCGGTTAGGGTCTGGAACTCGCTGACGCAGGAAGTGATTTCAGCTAATAGTGTTGAATCATTCAAGAATCTCCTGGACAAGTTCCTTGGAGACCGTAACATAAAGGGGTACAAGTACTCTTAAGAGCAAAATCACACATGGACTCATATACACGCACACACCAGCTCAAACATAAATGCATACACGCAATAGGTTGGACTTAAATGAACTTATGTCTTTATTCAACCTCAAATACTATGTAACTATGTTGGAGAATTATCAGATCTTCACATCATCAAATAAGATGAGACTGAATTATAAATGGTGGACCATCAAAGTTGGGAAGGAGATTCCCCAGAAGAAGTCAGTTCCTCTATTGTAGGATGAAGGGGTCGTAATCTCCTGATTAGTTTTAGGGTGGTTGGGGGTCATTTACAGCAAAAAAAACTCTCATCAAATGCTCTACAAAGAAATGTTGGGTCCATTGTCATGGAGGAATGATGGTTCTGAGATCTTCATCAATATAGTCTGTGCCAGATTTGTGCCCTGACATTTCATGACGTTCTATGAGCACAGCAGAGTTCGCCCTTACGTTGGTGGTCCCCATAAGGGGGACGTCAGCTCTTAGCCAGAGCTGATCAGCCAGTCATTACTAAGCGCAGGACAGTGACTGCAGTCCGCCACTGGGTCCATGATCCGCCATATAGGGACATCTGGTGTACACCATTTGAAAGGTCCATCTCCATTCCTCAATATAACGTCATGTCCCCAACAAATGAGGAGGAGATACTGTACACCATATGAAGGTCCATCTCCATTCCTCAATATACGGTCATGTGACCAACAAATGAGGAGGAGATACTGTACACCATATGAAGGTCCATCTCCATTCCTCAATATAACGTCATGTGACCAACACATGAGGAGGAGATACTGTACACTATATGAAGGTCCATCTCCATTCCTCAATATACGGTCATGTGACCAACAAATGAGGAGGAGATACCTTACACCATATGATAGGTCCATCTCCATTCCCCCCATAGCGGTCATGAATGAACAGTACAATGGTCTCCAGGGGGTCAGAGGTGTTTTGGGGGTTTTGTCTCCTTTATCTGGTTGGTTTTCATATGTTGGGGTTTCAATTGGACCCAATTCCATGCCAGAGCTCTGTGATGACTTCTAGACCAACATACATGACTCTGATTACTGACGTGTGTAATCATTTCTCTCCAGCAGATGGATGTGATGTCAGGAATACCTCGGAGAGACATCTTATATTATCTGCTGATTGTAAGTCAGAGGATAATGTCCTCACACAGGATTCTCCAGCAGTGAATCCACACACACAAAATATACATCACAGACCTCACTGTTCGGAGACATCAATGGATCCCTCTGATCAGGGTGAATCTTCAGATCAGTCACATTGTATGACTGGAAATAACAATTTAAGAACTCACACTTCAAGAGATCCATCTAATCCCAAGGAATCTCCCTCAGCACATAAAGGAGTTCACAGAGGTGAAAATATTTTCTCACATGCAGTGTTTGGTGTATTTTGTTTTCAATTAAAGATTTCCCAAAGTATTAACATGGATGAGCGACCCTGTTCATATTCAGAGTGCGTGAAATGTTTAATTTGCAAAGGAGACTTTGTTAAACACCAGAAGATTCACACAGGTGAGCGACCTCATCCATGCTCAGAGTGCGGGAAATCTTTCGCTCAGAAAGGAGCCCTTGTTAAACACCAGAAAATTCACACAGGTGAGCGTCCTCATTCATGTTCAGAGTGTGGGAAATCTTTCGCTCAGAAAGGAGCCCTTGTTAAACACCAGAAAATTCACACAGGTGAGCGTCCTTATTCATGTTCAGAGTGCGGGAAATCATTCATTCATAAAGGAGCCCTTGTTATACACCAGAAAATTCACACAGGTGAGCGTCCTTATTCATGTTCAGAGTGCGGAAAATCTTTCACTTATAAAGAAGTACTTGTTAAACACCAGAAAATTCACACTGGTGAGCGTCCTTATTCATGTTCAGAGTGCGGGAAAACTTTCACTTATAAAGATTCACTTGTTAAACACCAGAAAATTCACACTGGTGAGCGTCCTTGTTCATGTTCAGAGTGCGGGAAATCATTCATTCATAAAAGAGACCTTGTTACACACCAGAGAAATCACACTGATGAGCGTCCTTATTCATGTTCAGAGTGCCAGAAATCATTCATACATAAAGGAGCCCTTGTTAGACACCAGAAAATTCACACGGGTGAGCGTCCTTATTCATGCTCAGAGTGCGGGAAATCATTCATTCATAAAAGAGACCTTGTTATACACCAGAGAATTCACACCGGTGAGCGTCCTTTTTCATGTTCAGAGTGCGGGAAATCATTCATCAATAAAGGAGACATTGGTAAACACCAGAAGATTCACACAGGTGAGCGACCTCATTCATGCTCAGAGTGCGGCAAATCTTTCACTCAGAAAGGAGACCTTGTTAAACACCAGAGAATTCACACAGGTGAGCATCCTCATTCATGTTCAGAGTGCGGGAAATCATTCATTCGAAAAGCATCCCTTGTTACACACCAGAGAATTCACACAGGTGAGCGTCCTTATTCATGTTCAGAGTGCGGGAAATCTTTCAGTGATAGATCAGCATTTGTTCAACACCGGAAAACTCACACTGGTATGCAACCTTATTCATGTTCACAGTGCGGGAAATCATTCACTCAGAAAGCATACCTTGTTATACACCAGAGAAGTCACATGGGTGAGCGTCCTTATTCATGTTCAGATTACAGCAAATCTGCCACCGAGCGTCCTCACTGACTGCGGGAAAAGAAGATAAATAGACAGCGCCAGCTGGTTCTTATGAATATAAGAGAGTGGTCTCAAAGTTCCGGCCCGCGAGCCGGTACTACGTGGCCCGCAGCCAGCTCACAAGTCGGGTACTCAGTCACGGGCCGTGTACTCGACTTGTGGGAGCAGCTCCACAGTCTGCATCTATGTCAAAAGCAGACCGCAGAGCTGCTTCTGTTTCGGCACTAGGTGATTGATTGGTAAGGTCTGCTGCAGACCTCACTAATACAATCCAAGGAACGTGCCTCCTCACACAGCCTCCTCCCTGCAAAAAGGTAAGCAGGAGAGGGGGCTCTGTAATACCTTTTACATGTAGGTGTGCCGGGGCTGTGTTATTTTATATGTGTAGGGGTAGTATTGTTTTATGTGTATGGAGGGGGGTGTATTATTTTACTTGTGCAGTGGTAGTATCTTATGTGGGGGAGGGGTGGTAATATTTTATTTGTGCAGGGGTAGTATCTTTTTATGTGTATGAGGGGAGGGTGTATTGGTGTATTGTTTATTTTTATTTTTTTATGGGTTTGGGAGGGGGCTGGGGGGGTGTATTAGGCTACATTCACACCTGTAAGTTTAGTTGCAATCAGGGATTCTTGCGTCAGGAACTTGCGTTTTCCTACAGTAGGAATGCCTAATCTGACGTTTACAAGCGGCAGCTGTCACCTGTTCAAGTTAATGATCAGGTGACAGCAGCTGAATGTAAACGCCTGTACATCGCATGTAATGGTATGTGATATGGCTACATGCGGTTAGAAAACACTCTCCCTGGATGCACAATCGATGCGTCTGGGGATAGTAATTGATTCCTAATCAATGTAATCATATCACCTACCATTACATACAGTGTGCATGAGCTGCTGTCACCCGATCATTAACTTGAACGGGTGACAGCTGCTGCTTGTAAACACCAGATTCGTGATTACTGCTGCAGGAAAATGCAAGTTCCTGACGCAGGAATCCCTAATCGCACCTAAACCTACAGATATGAATGGGGCCTTATTGTGTGTGTATTGGTGTCGGTAGTACCAAACCGGATAGAGTTAAATTTCATTTTAAAGTATGAAATTTGGCAAGCAGCACCCATGGGAGAAAGAAATTTGTCGAGTGGCCCCCGAGGCAATTGAGTTTGAGACCCCTGTTATAAGATAATTCATTCCCGGTGATAGGATTCTCCAGAAGTGAAAGTGAAAGTAACAATCTGTGGTATAAATCTGTGCTGTGAGCGGCTGGTCAGGGCTGATCTCTCAGATCTGGGCTCTACTCTATGTACTGACCACTTACAGGAAATGTGGCAGAATCTCCAGTGAGAAGAGGAAGTTTCTCTGTTGATGAAGATAGATGATCCATGGAATAGAGTCACCATACAAGAATGAATTACAGTCATGTCTAATGTGTACATTTACTAGGGAGGGGCGTGACCGATATGAAATAAATGAGTCCGCTGTATATAAGCAATCACTCTATAATATTATTAAAATGTCAGATATCTGTATACAGTAAAGTGTTAATTAAATCACACGTGGGTTTGTTGTGCTTCCCCAGCAGTGTATTCTCTTCCTGGAGGTGGCAAAGCGTCTCCTGGTGGGTTTTTCCACCAGACTGAAAAAAGTGTCACCTCACCTTGTTGGTATTTCAATGTTCAAAATGCTTAAAAAAAGGTCACATGTCATAACTCCTCCCCCATACATCATATGATCGTAGAACCTCCAGGGAAAGAACGGGGGCACAAAGGTTAGCTGACTGATACTAAACATGAGGGTTTTATCATACAGTATGGAGGAGTTCTGATCATTGGGTCTCTTTATGGTATTTCTGGTTCTGTTAGCTGTAGAATGTCGGAGTTGCACAGATATTTACCAGCCCACGGGACACCAGACTGAGTGCGATCGTCACCAGGGTTTGTTAACTCCGGAGTTAACCCTTTACACACCAAATGTTCACTTCCACCACGTACTTTAACGGAAGTATGCACCGCAAGTGCTGAGACACTTCAAAAAATGTAAAGCCTATGACGCCGCTGTCCTCTCATAGAGGAATATGACCGATCACTATACAGTACAGTCTATGATATCTCTGTCCTCTCATAGAGGAATATGACCGATCACTATACAGTACAGTCTATGATATCTCTGTCCTCTCATAGAGGAATATGACCGATCACTATACAGTACAGTCTATGATATCTCTGTCCTCTCATAGAGGAATATGACCGATCACTATACAGTAGCGCTCTTCACAGGGCCAAGGATACTTGTCTCAAAATATCACCCTAACCGTCCCCTCCGCTCTTCCCAAGACCTCCTGCTTTCCAGCTCCCTTGTCAACTCCTCCCATACTCGCCTCCAGGACTTCTCTAGAGTCTCTCCCATCCTCTGGAACTCTCTACTACAACCTGTCCGTCTATCTCCCACCTTGACTGCCTTTAGGCGTTCCCTAAAGACTCATCTCTTCAGGGAAGCCGATCACACCTCAAACTAACCACTGAACCATCACGTTCTCAAAAAATTAATCCCCACACAGCTACCTCCTCATGTATCACTTGCCCCTCCTCTTTTAGATTGTAAGCCCTCAGGGGCAGGGCCCTCCTTACCATCTTGTCTTGAATTGTATTGTAACTGTAATGTATTCCTTATATTGTAAAGCGCTGCGCAAACAGTTGGCGCTATATAAATACCATGTAATAATAATAATACTTTAAGTTCGTATTTAGAGCGTAGAGATAAGCTTAACGATTTTTAAGATCGTCCTTTAATAAAAGAAACGTTGCAGGAAATATACAGAAAAAGATATTAATAAAGAGACAAAATATATAACAACAGTACAATAAAAGGAGAAAACTTAACAGTCCTGGTTTTAGGAGTTCCGACAGAGTCCAAAGTTCAATAAGCAAAAGAGAGGTCTTTTTCAAGCACGTTTGCACAGATGATGTCCAGATATTAAAGGGGAACTCTTCTGCATTGTTAAGACTTCATATTGTTGCAAGAGTTCCTTTTCTTGATGTTACAAAACAAGAGATGCTCAGCAACATCTTTTTCTCAGCCCTCTAGGGGGGGAGTCATGTAGCCAGCAGCCTAAGGCAGGGCTGGGGAAGGAGAGCAGGAGGGACGAGCTTTTACAATTTGCTCCTCCCACACGGTAAATTAATAACAATTGCGATAGTAGGGTATTCATACTCCATATGGTCTGGCAACCCCTAAATTATGATGCGTCATAAAGTTTCCTTTAGAATGAAACTAAATGTGCACGAGAGATGAATGATGGGAGGTAAATGTCTCCTGTCCATTCTAAACTATTGATTTTTGTTATCAATGTTCTGGTTGTGACGAGACACGGCTATTTGTGCACTTAATTTTACAATATCAATGTCCCCTTCCAGTGGCGTCACAAGGGCGGTGCGGCCCTCACCCGGGTGACACCATTGAAGGGGTGACACCAAAATGACCCATAGTCATTTTGGTGTCACCCCCCTCTGAAAAGTCGGGCGCTCGTTCATGTACCAAACGCCCGACAGTATCAGGAGAGAGGAGGGGACCTGGCAGCATACCTTATCCCGCCGGGTGACTGCCCCCTCCTCTCTCTGCCAGTGTCCATCACAAAGATGTCCGCCGGCATGCGCAGTGACACTCGGTTACCGCTCCGTGTGTCACCCAGCCTCGGGACGCCCCTGTCCACTTCCAAATTATGAAATGGAGCTGATATTGTAACTCAGTTTTATGAATTTTGGGTGATCGCTGGGTGTCAGAGCAAAATGAAGCAGAACAAGACAAGCGAAAGGTGCTAGTTAAAATATTTATTAAGAACAGTATCAACAGGAGCAAGCAGAATCATAAATCCGAACAAGCCAGGGTCAGGAGCCGGAGTGGGTAGTCATACAAGCCACATCAGGAACACTGAGGCTGGGTTCACACCTAGGCGTATCGAATATGCGCGTTTTCCGTGCAGCGCATTTTTACCGTGATTCACGGTTAAAAAAAACACGCGATAAACGCGAGTTTCCCAGGGCTGCCTGGCTGTATCCCAAAGGAAACGCGCGGCAAATACGCCCCAAAGAAGCTCCTGTACTTCTTTGGGCGTAGGGCATTTTGCAGAGCGTTCCTACCTGCTGTAAAACGCCCAGGTGGGAACCATGCCCATAGGCAATCATTGGTTTTCACATGTTGAGCGTTTTACAGAGCGTAGGAATGCGCTCTAAAACGCCCAGGTGTGAACCAGGCCTTAGATCAGCATCATCAGGAACAAGCCAGGAGCAGGAGCCAGGAAATCAGTGTTGTCACGAGCAGGAGAACGCCAGCTAGGATCGGGTCCTACACAATATCAGGATACTCAGAGCAGCAGGAATGCACTAGCAGGAAGACCACGCAAGGTTAGACTGGACTGAATGGTTTATCTATAGTGAGTGGGGTGACATCATCACTCAGAGACAGAAAACTCCCATCTGACTCTCTCAGATGATACTCTCCTGTGTGGCCATGAGAGTAGTGAGCAACGTTCCAGAGTTGGCTTAGGCAAAGAAGGAAACGCCGTTGAGTAAAATGGCAGCCAAGGCAGAATGCTGCAAACCAGTAAAGTCAGGGTGGAAACCTGACACACGTACCTGAATGGAGACCCAGCGGAGAAGGGTCAACATAGATGACACCTATATATCATTACAATAGGCTCAACCCAAAAACCTAAAACACACCAGGATATGGATCTTTATTCACCATTATAACATTGATTATTTTAATTGGAGTTCAATGAGATCAGAAAATGAAAGTCACATGACTAAAATAAAACTCCTTATACTTGTATTGAAGCTTTGTAAAATGAGCCCACTAGCTGGTATTACAAGTTTTAGTTTTTCTTCCTAAAACAATTTCTTATTTAGTTTTACTTTTCTTAATATTAAAAAAAATATCACATTGTTGTTTTTCAATTTATTTCTTTTGTCTGGATTTG